GTACATGCTTGCTCGGTCGGGGTATCTCGGTTGAGCGCCTGTCGTGCTCCCCGAGGTCGGGTGTAACACGAACGCGAAGGGTAATTTTGTTCAGCTGGAACAGTTGGTCTTCGTGATCGCGAAGAAGGAATCCCTGGGCTGACTTGATTTTTATACGGGACTTAGCTCATTTTTACTTGGGTTGGCCGAATTTGGGGAGCTATTTTGAGGGGACTTTCATCAAGCATCACAAGGTAAGTGAATTCTACCAACTTTTGAGTTAATACATGGATTATGGGTAGATTTGAAATGGAAATTAGTGAAAATTTTGGGATTTTGTTGGAAACCTAGGGTTTGGTAAAAGTAGAATTTGACCACGAAATTAATTATGAAGTTGGAAATAAATTATATATTTGAGTTCGTAATGTTATGGAAAATGTTTATCTTCAAAATATTTCAAAAGGGAGTGACTTTTATGGACTTTCCGAATTGGGTTGGAAAATTACTCTAATAGATGAATTATGAACTTTTGAGCATATTAGTTTGTATGACTTTTGACTAGTTTCGGGTTGCTCGATGTCCTTTAGGGATTTATAGTGAGGTTTAAGTGCCGAGTAGTGAGCTAGGAAGCGAGGTAAGTCTCTTGCCTAATCTTGTAAGAGGAATTATCCCCTTAGGTGTATAAATTGTTGTGTGCTACTTATTATGGGGGCTACGTACGCATGAAGTGACGAGAGTCCGTACGTAGCTATATTCATATTTATGTCCAGGTAGACTTAGATTCACATCATGCCTTAAATGTGCTATTTGAATTAATCTTGTACATTTGACTTCTTTAATTTATGACTAAGATTGAGACTAGAATAAAATATTGACTGAGTCTCTTACTTTAAAAATTGTGAAATATTTGATGAACGGTAGTTCCGTGTCTTCTCGAGTCGTATGTATTTTCCCGAGCGAGAGAGTTTCTCTACTCTTATGGGATCGAGTCGTTCGCCTCGACAGGATTAATAATTATTCTTATGGGATCGGGCTATTTTCCTCAGCATGATTAATAAGTACTCTTATAAGATCGGGTTGTTCACCTCGATAGTATTGTGAGTTATTCTTAAGGGATCGGGTCATTCGCTTCGGTGGTATTGTGTCTCACCATTCCTATAGGATCAGACTTTTCACCTCGGCAAACTCGTGCGTAACACTTGAGATTTGATATGGTATTGATATCAGTTGTTATTGTGCCTTCGAGGCCGGTTATGACATTTTAGTGATTTCGTAATAATCTATGTTTTGAAGTTTATTATTAAAGCTTATTTGCTTGTTGTTACTTGCTGTCTTTCATAACTGTCTACTTTATGTATTTATTTATTTGACAACTTGTAAGTGTCAAGTCAATCCCTCGTCACTACTTCTTCGAGGTTAGACTAGATACTTACTAGATACGCATTGATTTACGTACTCATGCTATACTTTTGCACTGATTGTACAAGTACTAAGATAGGTATTTCTAGTGGTCACATGGGCGCGTAGACGTATCACGAAGACTTAGTGGTGAGCTAGCTGCCTTCCATGTTTTGATCTCTAGCACCCAGAGTCCCCCTCTATCTTATTTATTGTTTCTGTCTATTTCGTTTCAGATAATAGCTATAGTAGTTTTTGTATATTCCCTAGATGACTCATGCACTTGTGACAACGAGTTTTGGGGCTTCTAGTGGACTTTCACAGTTGTACTTGTTTTTACTATCACTTTGCTATATGTACTATTCGTACTCGTTATTTTGGTAAAGCAGTGCGTATGTTTTCATGAGTTCTAAATTTAATTTCTATATATCTAATGAAATTTCTAAGTTTAAAGGTTAAAACGGATAATCAAATTGGAGGTTCACCGTTGGCTTGCCTAACAACATCGTTGGGCGCCATCGCAGCCTATTATGGGATTTGGGCCGTGACACCCCTTAACTTCCTCAACTTTAATACGCCTACAATATCCAAAATCTTGTCGACTCTCTGCTTGCTCTAAATCAACCAGCACAATACTCCTCTCCCCTCTTCATTTAAGAGTTTATGAAAGTATACTTGCCATCATCGTATAATATATGAGTCTTCCACCAATACTTTGCCTTTCTCATCTTTTATGCACTTCACTTGGCCTAGGTCGCGTGCCTTCCTCTCTTGCATCTTGGCTAGCCTATAAAGCTTCTTGTGCCCCGCCTTTGTCCCTAATTTCTTTATATAAGCGTTCAAAATGCTATCGTCTTTGCCAACGTAACTACTAACTTTGCCTTCTTCTTTGATGTCTTGTACTACTCCCAATTCACCCTCTTCTCTTCATTGTCCTTGCTCTCCAATAACTTGAAATACATCGTCTTCTTAGCTACCACTTTCCCTTGCACCTCTTTATTCCACTATCAATCCCTTTTGAGCCCACCAGAGCAACACCTCAAGACCCCTAATACCTCTCTAGCTATTTTCTTAGTACAATTCGATATCTTAGTCCACATACTATTCGCATCCATACTACTTCACCAAGCCCCCATTGCCATCAACTCTTCCCTAACTCATGAGATGTATCCATAGTCAAGGCTTCCCACTTGATCTTTGGTTGACCATGTACAACCCTTTTGTGCCTCTTCCTTTTAGTCTCCAAGTCAATTACCAAGAGTCTATGTTGAGTCGTGAGATTATCACTCGGGATAACCTTGCAGTACTTGCAAACATCTCTATCATTTCCTAAGGAGTATGTAATCAATTTGGGTTTTGGCTACTGTACTCTAGAAGGTGACAAGTGCTCTTCCTTCTTCTAGAAACTCGAGTTAGCTATCACCAAGTCAATGGCTTTTGCAAGATCTAACAACGAAGTTCCTCCTTCATTTCTATCACCAAAACCGAAACTGCCATGCACATTGTCATACCCCTTTATGGTCGACCCAATATGACCATTGAAATCTCTTCCTAGGACTAGCTTCTCGATGTGTGTAATAACTTACATGACCTCGTCTAGATCGTTCTTGAATTGCCTTTTGACCTCCTCGTCTAAGCTCGCTTCGGGTGCATAAGCACTAACTACGTTAAAAGTAAGCTCTCCAACAACCATCTTGATAGCCATCAACCTGTTGTTCATCCTCCTAACCTCGACCACTTTCTCCCTTAATTCCCTATCAATCAAAATACCTACTCCATTCTTACCCTGCAATGCTCCTGAGTACCACTATTTGAACCTATTTATGTCCTAACTTTAGTTCCCACTCATCTAGTTTCCTGGACACAAGCTATATTGATCTTCCTCTTATGGAGAATCTTCGCTAACTCTATAGATTTTCTCGTCAATGTACCTAAGTTCCAGGACCCAAATCTAAGTTTAGAGACTCTCTTGCTTCCTTACCACCCTAGCCGCATGTCCCCCGCCTCACCTGAGGGCATGCCCTTACTTACCATCATTCACCGCAACCACTATAATCTAAGGTATACTACACTTCCACTAACACTCTAGCTCGCGAGGAGTCTAAACGAAAAGAATAAAAACTAAGACTAAAATGCACCAACCGACAATACAAACAAACAGGCAAACAAGTACTGTATTAAACTAAGCAATTTATCTAAGTCACAAGAGAGAAGGCAAAAAAGAAGACAGGAGATCCGGAGGTACTAACTCCGGAAAGAAAGAACCTGGGTTATGGTCGTGGCTGTTGTAGCATTGCTGGAGCACCTTTCCGAGTCGATTTCCGGCCTTCCATGCACTGCTACGCACCTCTACTGTCGCTAACTTCGCCAGCGCATGTGCCTCACGTGCTTCTTCTCTGATAACCGCCGGTTAGTTTGGTACCTTGAATACTTAAAAACACAGAAAGGGAAGAAGAAGGAAAAAAAAGACGAAGGACCGCAGAAGATCTGAGGGGCAGCTCCTCGGCTCAGATCTGAAGGGCGTCGGCGACCTTGAAGTGGGGGGGAGGGGAAGAGGATGGAGAAAGAAGGAAGAACGAATAGGAGGGGGGAAAGAGAAAGAAAAACATAGACGATTGGAAAGAAGAGGGGCAGTAAGTACGGGAAGAAGAAGGGTGGAAGGAAAGAAGAGGAGAGGGNTACCAGCGAGAGAGAGTGTGTGTGTGTGTGTGTGTCAGAGCGAGGAGAGAGAGATGCGACTTTCTTGCCTTACGAAAAGAATTTCATTTTATTTTTTCAAAAGTATTTAAAACGCCGTCAAGTATCCTGCAGATGTGGACACATTGCCTAACGAGAAACAAACCCCCGCTCTCATTATTCAATCCTTTCGAAGAGATAGATTTTAATCCTCTATTCGGTCTAGCTGCCCCTCTTAGTGTCATCAGAGAGTTTAATCTCCTTACTCCTTACTGCTATTTTCTTTGAAAAAAAAGAAGGGGTTGATGTTCAAAATAATACGCTTGGTGGTATAAAAAACAATACATCAATTGGCGTATTAAATTACAGTAATATTAGCTAAATATGATTAAGAATACCAACAAAATATGTGATAAAGTAACAGAAAATTCTATACCAAGATTATTTCATCTCATCCCTCAAACTAAACGAGTTTTTAGAGTATTGACAAACGATTTGATTACACACTGTTTTTAACTTGAACAATATAAATACACTAGCATATTGTATAAAATAACTATATCTCAATTTCAAGCTGGCTGAAATATAAATTTATTGACTTTTCATCATTCTCCGTTTCTAATCATCATAATAAAAGCAATGGAGCTTTCTGAACTTAAAATGAAAAAGAAGGAAAATAAAAGGGTAGAGTAAAAGAAGACGNAAGGGGTAGGAGTGTTAATGAAAAAATGTTTGCAATTAAAGCAGAGCTAGCTGGTGGTGGACGATTGCCATATTTGCATTTATTGCCGCCATTACTGACGGTGACGGCCCTTTCCTTCACTCCAAATCCCATTAATTAGTATCCACATAATGCCAAATCACAACTATTATTATTAATTAATAATAATAATATTATTTTCAAATTTCCCTTTTTATAGTACACCAGTTTTATGAATAAGGGCTCCATCTACTCACTCACTTGTTGCAGCCCATTAGTTTATTTATAAAAACCCTCTTTCCAACTTAAATTTCTTCTGCCCTTTAGATTTTTCAGAGTCCTTTCCTTTTCTCTATTCTCTATTCTCTATTCTCTATTCTCCGAACGATTTGTTGATGATGGCGGCTGAAGTTAGCTCTCTGGTTAGGATTATGAACGCAGCTGGTGGTGGTGGGTTGAATGAGTCATCGTCTTCATCATCTTCAGGGAATAAATCAACGGTGTTGATCACAAGGGACTTGCTCGGGGGTTGTCGTTCTCTTGATTCGAAGGAATTGGACCTCGACTTGCAGGTTCCTTCTGGTTGGGAAAAGCGCCTCGACTTGAAGGTACCGATCTCTCTGTTTTACTCCTATTTAACTTTCTCCTTTATTTTCCCTAAAGAAAGAAACTGATGATTGTTGCGTATGCTGTTGATTTCCCCTATTTTCTTTTGTAGATTCTGTCGTTTTGTTTAACTTGCTGCTACTTCCATGATTATTTGAATCAGAATTTATCATTCTTCTCAAATATAGTTCCACTCCGTTGGCATTAGCAGCATTTAGTAATGGAATTGATTAGGATATTTACAGAGGGAGTTTATCTTTCACCATAATGTCTATCTGATCTTAATTATCTTACCATATATCTTGCTAAATTATTCTCTGTCCCAATTTCAGATTTTGAGAGTAACTTTTTAGTTTTGATCGTAATTCAAACACAGTGTCTTTATGTTACATGGTCGCAGAATTAAGTACTCACGTTAAGGGCTAATTCTCTTCTGTATGTTTTCTATGTCCATTTTATTATTCTATGTATGTGAGGGAAACATGGTTAAAGCGCAACTGTTTTATCAGTATCCCCTTGGAAGTAAATAAGCTTTTTTTATGAAAAAATAATTTAAAGCATTTATGCTAGCTTGGCTTGGTTTCTCTGATGTTTTAACTTGAGAGTGAATCATTCCTTTAGTGAGCTATTTGATCATCTCATTATTTTGACACAGTGAGGTGTTATCTTTGTTGTGTTGTAACATGATAGTAGACCATTTGATTTGGTTTTCTATGTTTTTTCTACTGAGTCATGGCAATGGTGTAACTTTCTAATTGATAAATACGTTGTTCATTTGCAACAGTCAGGAAAAGTATATCTACAGAGGTGCAACTCTTCAAATTCTTCGTCGACGACCTTGGAACAGAAGCAACAAAACCATCAAACAGTTGGAAATCTTCAAGACCTTAATTTCCCTCCTGCATCAAAGCAACCCCTCAACCTCTTCGATGAACCCAACTTAGACCTTAAGCTGCTTCCTTCATCATCCACTTCACCATCATCATCTAGTTATCACAGTGTATGCACCCTGGAAAAAGTGAAATCAGCTCTGGAAAGAGCAGAGAAACAAACAACCCGGAAACGCTCAATATCAGTGTCAATGTCATCATCTCCAACTTCGAATTCCTCATCCTCAATCGTGGATACGGAGATTGATCAAGAGAACTTATGCCCTTCCCTTGCTGCTGGTTGCCCAAGTTGCCTTCTTTACGTGCTAATATCAAAGAATGATCCTAAATGCCCTCGATGCCATACTGTCGTTCCATTACCTGTGGCAATGAAGAAGCCTCGGATTGATCTTAATATATCCATATGAGAGTGAAGAAGCAAGAAATCATTTTGATATTTTTTGTAAAGATAAAAGATATAGTCTTGTAAGTTATAGAATGGTATATACATGTTTCAAAGGATTGATGTTCCTTCTTGGTAGTGTAGAATATAAAATCACCAGATCCTCTCTGGGCTTGCCTGCCTTTCCCCCTCATTTATGTTGATTAATACATGCTTGAACATTATTCAATTTTTTGGCTGTCTGGATGTACTACTATATATATATATATATTTGAGGCTCCTGTTAACTGTGGTAATTTAGGCATGGTAATGGCCTATAATTGCTAGTGGTAGAACAGCCTAAGTCATGAATGGAATGTGCAGAAATTGTATGGCCATTTGCTGATGTTTGGAAATCCTGGCATTCTGACCATGCAGTATCTACGTGTGATTTTTGAATTGTTCGGAAGAAAGCTTGTATAAGATATGGAAGCCTTGCCTTAGATACGCAAATGTACATAATTGTTGGTATTTTTCTGTTAGAGGAAGGAGTTGGAGGAACTCATTGCAAGCAGGAAAGAGTATAACCACTTGAAGGGGTTTCTGTCATTAATTAATCTACCAACCATTAATGCACAGCCAAAGACTGGCCCTTGGTCTTAAATCGGTCTATCAAAAGGGTCTTCTTTATTTGCTCAATCCAAATTCTGTAATGCAATTCATTTCGAGATCCTGAGGAAATGTAGAGCAAAACTCTTATTTTATTCTTATTTCTACACTACAGTATGGAGAATATTAATTTAGAAAGAACATGATATTGTATCCTCGAATGTCATTGAAAATATTAATTCAGAACGACCATGAAATTGTTCTCACAGCATAGAGAAAGAGTATAAATTGTTGTAGGGTTTAAGGCTTTAATGGTCAGTACGCAGTTGTTTAATTGAACAAAGGGAGCTGGGACTTGGATCATTATCCATTTTGCCCTCGCGCTTTCTGAAAACTATGACTATTTAAGAGAGTATGTCAAACCAAAATAGTTTTGTAATCAATGATACTTACATTTCACTTTCAAACATTAAGTACAAATACCTAATTTCTTAGAAAGAGTTTAAATCCTTTTCTTCAATCAAATTCGCTATTAATTTTTCTGGCTATATTTGAATGTGGTTGCTGGCTTGTTGCTCATGACGAATAGGGCAACTTTGGTTTTTCTCTTTTAACTTTATACCTAAATGTGTAGTTTTAAACTCTGTTTTTTTTTAATTGGGGTGACGCGACAATAATGTATCGTATTGTACTGTATTGTATCGTATCGCATCGTTTTATAAATACAACGCTTGGATAGACTGTATTGTTTATTATTGTTAAATAATATTTTGTTATTTGGTTTGACTGTATCGTACTGTACTGTAACGTATAAGTTTACTAAAATACCCTTAATTATTTTAAATATTTAATTTATCAAGAATTACAATGTTAACTATATTTTGGGATTATATTTATTGTTAACTAATTAACTGGGGATCCAATGTTAAGGATTTTTGTTTGTAAATTTCAATAGTTTATAACTTTTCTCGCAGTACTGTTTAATAACATTGTACCCTATGAAAGAGTAATTAAATTACTTAGTTATATATATTTGGGTATATATTACTTGGTAAATCACATTAGCAAATCATACTGATCATCAAGTACTTATGTTATACAAATAAGAATCGCCAAAATAATCATACATAATTTCAGCGTAATAGGAGGTTAACTACTCAAACAACTAGATTTAGTTGCAATACAATAGGAGAACTAAACAGATAGTAACTGATAAAAAATAAAGAAAAAAAGTACTTGTAACTTAAAAACAAGAGCAAAAACCTAAAGAAACGTTGATAAAGAAACGAACGAAGGAGTTGGCAGAACAAATATAAATAACACTTTGCACATTTGAAAACAACCAATATCATAAAGCTAATTGGAGATAAGGTAATTAGAATTGAAATTACAAATCAAAGTAGGTTATATTCGGGATGTTGTCGTTGAGAATTTATATAGGTTATTAGACTTCACGTAGAATTCTATTATAGAATTATATGAGAAAGAGGCTTTGCTATTATTTCAAATAAAAAAAGGTAAAGGGTAAAATAGAATTATAAAGTAATAAGTTAGGGCATAATTAGAAAGAAAAATTGAAAACGATCCCACCACACCAAATCAGTTGTTTCAAAAAAAGGGACTTTTCATTGTTTCGAAACAATGGATTTAATAATACAATACAACCAATTTTAACTAAACAATCAAAACAAACATTATTTTGGAAAAATAATACAATACGATACAATGGGTAACAACCATCCAAACAAGCTGTTAGTGTCTTCTTTAAATTTTGTTGAAATAAATGTGAAAAAATGTCATCAAAACAAAAATAAGGAAAAACTAATGAGTTGTAGCATTAAAAGACAAATATTCTTTTTATGGTTATTTTATGCTGGCGATGGTAAGGAAAATCGGGTAATATGTATTCTTACTTTAGTTTTTAACTAGTAAGATTAAATTAGTTGGTTTGATGTAAAGACGGTGCAAATAAATGTTTACCGTAGGATTGGTATGTACGCGCTATAGAATGAGTTTAGAGAGTGTCTGGTCTGGGAAACAGAGTTGGAGTGTAAAGAAAGATAAACCATTTTAACTGTGGATGAATTAATCTTAAAGCCAGATACATAAAAGGAGTTGCAATTGATGTGGGAGCCTGCGTATAGAAGAGTATAATAAAAGCATTCTGCTTCATAAATTAAATGGTTGAATGGAGTTTCCATCCACCTACATTTAGAGTTGATGACTTGCTTCTTTGGTTCAACTTAATTGCCACATTTACTATACATTTTCAATTTTGCACCTAACTATCATTAAATACCTATCGTTTGTATCTTTTAAAACCACTCACACCTACCGCCTACTATCTTTCTAATGATCTCTATCTTCTTTTATCATATTTTTCACATTTTTTTTTTTTTTT